CAAAAGATGGGCTGGGATCATAAACCATACCCTATTCTTTGTTTAATTACTTAGCTTTTGCTCTTGACTTGGCAAAACATTAAGCTTTTCATTTTAGTAAATCTATAATTATCTCCAACATGTGCTGAGTAAACATAACCTCATTTTTAATTAAATCTTAGAACAAGATGCTACAACTTGCCATTTCTAAGGAGAAGTATTTCTTAAGTAACGTGCAATAAAAAAAGTCTAATCCTTGTCAAATACAAAAAGTCCACCTGAGTATAACCCACCCTCTTTTCAGTCATCTGTTGTCCAAACACACATTCAGTAACTACAAGACCAAAATGCAAACTTGAAGAGCCATTACTTCACATCAAAAGTTTCCAAGGCTACCGTAAAATCAAATCTAAATGGTGAAACAGCAAAACTGAGAGATAACCTTGGTTTTGGGAATGAATTTTCCACTACATCTCATTGGATTATTATTATTTTTTTTGCAAATGATGCAATAATTCTTACATAAAGAGAAAATAAATACAATTTCTCAAGAATGAAAGGAATTGAAATATCATATGCATTATAGACATCAGAAACAAACAGGAACTTTCTAATTAGACATTAATAAATGAGATTCAGAAAATTTACTTCTGACAACACATTCATATAGGACTAACTCTACAATTCTAAAGTGAGGCATCAATTCTCTGAACAGAGAAATCTCCAAAAAAGAAAAAGAAAGTTAAATTACTATGAAAATGTAATGTCAATGCTAAGTCAACCTTATACATAAACTAATGTGAAATATGAAATATTAACCAACTTTTGTTTATGCTGCAATGCTAAGATTTTTCTCAAATAATATCTCCACATAACCTATTTCCAAATGGCCCTCAAGAGTTTAGATTATTGAAGTGCTACAGCTAAATAGTAAAAACCGTCACAAAATTTTACTTTATGTTCAAGAATTAGGTGTGCCAGAGCCAAATAAATGAAGAAATTGTTACAGACAGAAGCTATAAGATTTACAGTTTGCAGAACAAAAAAATTTCAATCAAAAAATGTGCTCAAGAGAACTTTGCAATATTAAATCTCCTGATCTTGCTTATCTGCAACTCTTTAAATCTGTTCTCTCAAAGACAGTCTCTCAGTGATTCTGATTACCACAGAATCTAGGTACTAATGACTCTGCATTAGGCAGAACCTGGTCCACTTATTTACCTTACCCGAAATATATTCAAAACACGATTTCAAGAGAATTTCACAAGGCATTTTCTTCCAGCCATTTTATACTATACTTCAATTTCAACGTGCTTATTCTGGACAAATTTTTCCCTTTGCTTCTCATCAACTTTAGCTTAGTCATCTTTCAACAATTTTCACAAAAATTTAATGATGCATGATGGAAAGCCCATTGTTTCAATGGGAGTTCACAATTAAACAAAGTGCCTCGAGGCCAAAGTACACGATCTTATCCACGGGTGATACTGATTTGGTAGCATTTGCTAAGCACAAAGGTAGGATTATGATTTACACTACAAGAGTGCCACAGCATAGAAAGTGTTTTGTGTTCCTTGAAGATCAGAAATTTCCATGCTTCACCTGATGCCCTTTTCCCTCTCATCAGTCCTGTATATCCTGATCTCTTCAGGAAACTAAGGCTTAAATATTCATGCTGTCTGCATGTATTTTCATCATTCTCCCCTACCTCCACCTTTAAAGTGACTTTTTCAAACTAGTTGGACAATCATGACCAAACCAGAGAACAGCAGTCTTCATTATTAAATTCTCATAAGCTTTATGAAAACAGGTAGTTAGAGACTAAAATCTTGCCCATCACATTGAAGATAAACTGCAGCACAGGCTCAACCTTTATTATAGTCTGAAGAATGTCTACAGTCAGAATGAAGATGTAAATCCTTATAGGGCTTCCTCAAGCACACTATTTCAATTGTTTTAAAATTAGAGTTACACTAGATTGCTATAAGGCAAATCTTAAATACTAAAAATGAACGTTAAGGGCACAATTGTAGGAAAAAAAGCATTAAAAATAGATAAAGAATCAACATACGCTATTAACTGCATTGTTTCTTTCAGTTTCTTTCAGTCTTAATCACAATTAAGGAAGACACAACAGAGAATCATTCTTAAAATATAAAATGCAATAGAAAAATGTGGGTGTTCAGACTCTTAATGGCAAACATTTACCATCCAACTGTTCCGCAGTTATAATCAAGAGATTTTTTTAGCAATTGATTAAGGATATTACTAAGAGTATCCTCCTAGATATCCATATAGTTTCAACAAAAGCTGAGGGCACTTAAAACACCAGACACTGGAGAGACAAGAGGAATGACAGGGCAACAACTCTAAAGTTTTTTATGTGATGACATCATTATGCTGCAGGTTGACCTATCTGGTTACACAATGTGGATACTGAGCAGCCTTTCTTAACCTGACCCTTTGTTGTGATAAACAGTTCACAGTGTGATATGGGCAGCACTGGAAGAAAATGATCATCATGGGTTTTGATAAGTTACTTCCAATAAAGTTTTTTATGTGATGACATCATTATGCTGCAGGTTGACCTATCTGGTTACACAATGTGGATACTGAGCAGCCTTTCTTAACCGTTGTGATAAACAGTTCACTGTGTGATATGGGCAGCACTAAGTCTGGAAGAAAATGATCGTCATGGGTTTTGAGAAGTTACTTCCATAAATGACCACCACCTACACCTGAAAGCTATTTTTTAATGCAGATCTTTAAATTCTGCACAAGCTGCGCTAGTGAAAGCTAAATTATATCTTAAATGGTTACTTACTATAAATTAAGAGCAATTAAGAGCTGTCTTTCCCTAACAATGCAATGAAATGCAGTATCTGCTGTAAAGAAAGCAGTTAACATACAGTAAAATGACGTACTGTGGTGAAATCCCATCTCATCCTGGTTCATTTTATTCCCTTTCCTAGCTGTCCTGACAGAATGCTCTTTAACGCTATTATGAAGATGCATGCTACCAATATAATTAAGGCTAAAACAATTCATCAAAACTTAAATATTTACTCAATTTTTTCAACTGAATATAAATGTTCATTTCAAACAAACTCAAAAATGAAGATGCATGCTACCAATATAATTAAGGATAAAACAATTCATCAAAACTTAACTATTTAGCTCAATTTTTTCAACTGAACATAAATGTTCGTTTCAAACAAACTCAAAGGTTTTGTTATAAAGTCATCTTTGAAATTTACAAAGAAAAATAGGAAAATATGCTTGGAAGCCCTCTTCAGGAAGTGTTATGTTTAGGAAACACTTCATGCAGTAGATTGGGCAAACTCTCCAGTGTAAGTGAGAGATTAATCTTGCTTGGACTGATAACACTCAAGCTGTATGACATCCAGTCATGTTGACAGTGACAGGATCTTAACAGACGGATTAGTAGTGATAGCAGTAATGGCACATGTATAAATTGATGGTAGACTACCACCAACAACAGGAAGACAGGAAGACCAGACACCACTGGATTCTCCAATTCAAAAGTAGGCAATGGTAGCATTATTTTAAGCATGCAAAATGTTCATGCTTACAAAAGTAAGCACACTTAGGGACCATGCTCAGTACCAAATTCGGTAAAATTCAGGAGAAATTAAATGCAGCGTGCCTATGCAGCTGATACCGGTTCCTAATCAAATGTGGTAGACTCAAAATCAACTCTTCAGTAATGTAAATTATTCTTTTGAAAGTCTTTTTTGGAACCTTTTTAAGTTAATGTGTGAAGTTTTGCAGAAAATGTGTCACTTTTTCTTTGAACAAGTCTTTCTTTCATGGTACAGCACCATAAGGTAAATTATCTTTGAGGAACATAAAGCACACTCAAGTCACTCCTTTCTTTTGAATGTAGGACATCTGAAAATTGATGGAAATTTTATTGGCCTTGGGTCATAATGTTTAACAGGTTTATCTAATTTCATTCCAGATCATTTACATAGTCATATAATTTTTTTTTCTTTCTAATCATAATCATCCTTTGACTTATTAAGCTTATTATGCCTAGAAAAGTACAAGGAAAAGACAGCTAGATTTCTGCAGCCAAAACTTCAAGGAGCAATTGCAACATATTTCTTGAGAAAAAGCAATGTGAACTTACAAACACATGAATGTCACATTGAGAAGTTAGTTAAAATTAGAGCCACGAGCTAATCCTGTTAGATTAAGTTACACCAGTTTTTTGAAATGCTGGCCTTAGATTTTTATCATCTCTGCAGATCACAAAATGCAAATAGGCCAGAGAAAGATTAAAAAATAATAATAATAAATTTCAATTAATTTAATTTAATTAATTTAATAATCACCATCATCTTATCTGGAAAGATACAAGGGCAATGTAGGAAGAATAATCAGTTACGTCTGTTTATCAAAATACTTAGAAGGCAAAAAAATCACCCAAAATCTGCCTATGGCCAACTTCTTCTGACTTTGTGTCACATATACTTTGAATAAATTTTGCTTTTTTATTATAAACTAGCAAGACAAACATTTGTTATTTACTGTCACAGTGAGGTAGAACTGCCACAGGCAAACCTACTAGACATGTGTCTTTTTAGAAAATACAAGAATGGGGCTGTTGAGGGAAAAGAAAGGAAGGACGGACTGGAATCCTGGAAAATTGCAAGAAACATCGTTTTATCATGACAGTTGTCATTGGCATTTTGTGTCCTCTCAAGGATGTTCAATATTTTCTTGATACAATGGCAAAGACTGTTAATAGATACATTTTTTCCCTACTTCAGAAGCATTTTTCAGGACTTAAATTCTTTAAGTACACACAGCCTGGCTTTTTTCTAACTACAGAGCATACCCAGTATACATACAACGGCAATGCCTGCCTCGTCTTTAAGTGCAAGTTGTACCACGCTTCAGCCGTAAGATACTAATAAACCTGGAGCAGATCACCATGCAAATTAAGTTCAAATGGAGTTTGTCATTGCTGTAATCCCTCACGCATTTGTACTTACCTGCAGGTAAATATTTCAGCTGGTTGTTAGCCAAGCGAAGATGACGTAAAGATCTCAGGCGGCCAATCTCTGGACACACAATTTCCAGGGCATTATCACTTAGGTCCAGAAACTGCAGTTTAACGAGGGAGCCAATGGCTTGTGAGAGAACAGATTAAAACATGAATGTGACCCAACAGTAATGTTAAAATCTTAATAGGCCTATGAGAGGATAAAAAGCCACAGCACCTAACACCTATGTCTGAGCAGATTTTGATGTATTAAAGCTGGACTCACAACTGAATGACATAGCTTGTGGAAATGCTTATCTATCTAATGAATAGTTCTGCTGGCAGTGAGACAGGGAGGGGAAAAGAAAAAAATAAAGTGATGTACAGAATACTCCCATTTCTAGATTCGCCTCAGATGATTCTGCTCTGAAATCACTTTTTCCATTCCTTCCTTTTGAGTCTATCCGATTTATGTATTCAAAAAGAGTTTAAACTACTTTCCTGAAGTTAGGCACATAACTCTACAGTTGGGGAAAGGAAGAGAAACTAGTACAAATTCTTGATACTTTAGGTTTCAAGTCTGTCATGATCTAAGCCAGCAGAGTATTCTGTGTGCTAACTGGCTGAAAACAGAAGACACTCTGGATTTTTGTTTCTGTAAATGAGTGCCATTTAGGCCTTTCACTTTCTGCCATTAGAATTGAAGCAAACAGCATTTAGATGCACTTGATAATTCATTAAAGGAATTCAACATAGCATAAACAAGGATATTAGCAACTAAGAGCTACACTGGTATATTTTGTATAAAAATCTTTAATGTTTTATGGGAAAATAAAGGAAAAATAGGCCTCTTCAAAGAAGAAAAATGAATATTTTATGATTCTTGCCACTTATTGTGAGCTGGTAGATTACTTACCTTCAGGTACAACAACTATGTTATTTGAATGGAGGTACCTGGGGGGAGGAGAAAAAAAGCAGAGGACACCACCTGTTACCCTCAAGGACTTCTGCTACATAATCAGTTTGCAAAATATCCAATTTCAGACTGAAAGAACACCCTCAAAGCCATTCCTCTCAAAGACCACAAAAGCTGTGGAAACTATATAAACTGGCAATGGATAGGTACTTAAATTTCACTCAGACTATTAAATGATGAACGTGAAAATAACAGAGAATGACATACAATTATTTAAAACAAAACATTCACAATTACAATAATAATAATGGGCTCTAGTTTTGAAAGTCATTAGAAGAAAACAAAAAGGAAAAAGAACAAAGGAGATAGAATAACCAAAATGAACCATGTTTGATAACCAGGTTATTCTACACTAAATGCTGGGTAAGGAAAGAAAAAAGCCCAAACCCACAAAAGTTATATAATTACGAATATCTTCCCCAGCAGATTAAGTCTTACATCTTTACTGACTGAAGAAACAAGCACATGATCTACTCACTGCAAGTGGGTTTTTCATACCTAGAGTACATTTTTCAAAAGAAAAACTCAATCTTACACATGATCACTGAGGTAGGTAGTGAGGGTGGCCAGATCTCTAACTAAGAATATTCAGCACCCTCTGCTGGAGCACTTTCAGTACTAGTAGTAACGTAAAATCTATTCTTAGACTAACAAAATTTTCAAACATTGGTATCTAATTGTAGAGGTATACTCAATGTCCAATTGCTCAGACACACATGGAAATTATTTGCATTGCATATTTTTTTTCCATTCTATTCAAACAGCATTTCCAAAAGTTGGAGCCTGTCATTTCAGAAAGATAAGAGGCAGAACAAGGAGAAGTGAACATTTCAACTGCATGGAGCAACTGAGCCTTCTCTTTTTCTTTAAAAACTGCAGACATTCAAACTTGACTATAAACGTAACAAACATAAGGATAGCAGATACGTTTGTAGAAATCATTATATATAACCTCAGGATGAGAGTTCTCCCACTCACTTCAGCTGCAGCTCCTGAAAATACTTGTGAACTCTTTCACTCAAGTTAAAAAATGTATATTATAAGGATCTACACCTACTATCCCAGAACGAGGGACACAATATAGAAAGAAATATACACAGATAATAGTGAAGTTTTGGCAAACATATAGTGAAATTGCTAAGGATGTATCTTTCAGGAAAATGAAAATCAGTTAAGTTCATCTTTCAAAGTTTAAAGCTACTGTAACAAGTTATTCTTTAAATAAATATTTTGCGGTCTCTGTCAACAAAACACCTCTTATTGTCTGATCAAAAACTGACTTTTACTAGTTGAGCTACACAAACCACAGGCTCGCTGCCATTCTCGACCATCAGAATGTATGGGATAAAGGTGGTACAACTACACTTGCTGAACCCCAAATAATTAGGTTTGGCTGCTAGAATTCAGTATTTGTAAGAGATTATTTTAAGCCATAATTTATACAGATTTTCCTAAAGGCACTATGAGATAACACAGAGATTTCCTGATGCCCTATGGCAAATCATTAAATACTAAGTATATCAAATACAAAAATATTTATTTTACTGCTTCAGAGCATAAACATACTCTCAAGACTCCGGCATGATGAGACAAGACTGTCTCTTAAGGAAGTTGGAGACTGCAGTGACCTATAAAACAGTTCAACTATACTGTGGTCGCGTGTACCAGAAAGGTGTGGTTTCAAGGGCCAAATTAAGATGACAAGATCAGACAGCTGAATGCATTAGACTACTCAGATATACACCTCCTCCTGTTTGGAGCTTTCCATTAAATAAATAGGATCAATGGTCCATCACTAACTCAACTGAAAGTGAGCCAAACGAGTTATAAGGGGGAAAGAGGATGTCTTTTTTTAACCCCACTACCAACAATCCTACCATACAAGAAAATCATAACCTTACAAGAAAAGGGGAGGAAAGAAGACATTGACTCATGGGCTTACAGCTTAAAATTAATTGCCAAAATAATACAGTTCATGTGACATCCACTCTTTGGGCAAGATTGGATAAACTACTCTGCCTACAGCAATCATCATTAGTTACTACCCCTACTTGCTCAATCCTGCTCCCATTTGACAATCTGTGACATGGTTCCAAAAAAACTTATTACTACGATCAACAAGACTGAGATCATAATACCCCTGGCAGCTGAGCTGAAAACAAATAACTAGGGATGGGCTGGAGGGAGGAACCTGTTACTCTGTCACAATCCTCTGACCATTTTATTTGGAGGTTCCAGTGCTTTATCAGGGTAACAACAGTCTACAAGGGAGTTGGGGGGTAAGTATTTTTTTCCTTAACAGTGTAGACATTTGTGTAATACTTCTTGTTATAAAATAAACAAGAAATTATAAAAAAATATTAACATGGGACTGAATATATCGGGATATAACACCTTTAAATAAACAAAAAAAAAACCCAAACCCCAAGGAAAAATAACCCTTTCTTGACCTCCATGAAAACCTTTCACACTTAAGAGGTAGGTTATGCACAAGCAATACATTCTAGAATTATTTTAACATAAGATGGATCAGCATAATAAAAATATATTAGAACTCCTACACAAACTCACAATTCCACGAGGTTTGGAAGCTTCTGTGCAAGGTTTTCTGGCTGAAAAAGAGTTAGAGATTTTTTAGGTTTCAAAATAAAAAACAGACACACACATATTGTGTACCCAACTCATTTTAATAACCATACTAAAGCATGTCAGCAGCTAGTCACAGAAATAACGGCAACAAGGAGCTTGTATAAAATACCCTCTCTCCACATCCCTGCACGTTATCCATCAGTGCAATCTGGGATATATCAAGGGTGAGTAATTCACTACTGAAACAGAACTACAGCCTAGAAGTGACATTAACATGTCCTCAACCAAATGGTAGTCAGACTTCTGAGGCTGAAAAGATGGATTACTGAAACCTCACTTTTGAAAATATATTCAAATAATTGAGTTAGTTGAAGCCAAGAGACTGCTAAGAAGCTGCAGCCCTTCAGACTTAGAGCAGCACAAGAACTATACAAGATGTCTAACCATAATGTATTTTATTTCATAATGCTGCTCAACTGGGAAATGACCTACAAATTTTGTGTAGCTTAATCAATTACCAGCAAGCAAGAAGTGCTGAATCCATCAAACTAGATTTACATATTTACATATTAACATGCATATAATTTTCTAACTGCTAACTGATCCTTAGCTGCAATTCTGTTTCTTGATGGCATTTATAACCATGAACATGTATCACAAAATCAGCTTCACAAGTTTGAGATGACATGTTGGTAACTCAAAATTATTCAAGGTTAAGACAGCTTTATTGCTTAAGAAATCTACTTTAAACTTAGATATGTTTTATTGAAAAAAGTTTTTACAATACACGTACATGCAGAAACAAATTAATTTTAAAAGCAGCTGGATCACACGGTCAATTTCCTGCTAAAAAAACCCTAGCAATTTTCACTGTCATGTAAATTTAAGGTATATTACTATCTAAAATACTTAACTTTGTGTTCATAAATTTATTATGAAGGGATACGCTAGCCCAAAAAAGTAATGTCATAATATTCTCACGTAGCAAACATGTCACATCCTAGATCTGAGTACAATAAATAGCTTGCATGCAGCAGCAAACGGACTATGGAACGGCAAATGATAGTTCAATAAATTAATCCATTAGAGCAAGACCCAAAAAACAGGCTATAACTAATCAATTGTTGCCACCTACTGGAAGGTTTGCTACAGCACATCTGTCTTCTCGGCACAGAATATTATTTGGTCAAAGAGAAAAGCTTAAGCTGGGAAAACATGCAAAGGCTGCAATATGCTCAAGAACAAAAAAAATCAAGCTTTAATTAAAAAAATTAAAAGGGAATGTGAACAAATTCACTGTCATCCTACATAGAATAAGGATACTAACCTAAATCACAAACTATTTTCACATTATACATGAAGGTGATACTTTTTATTCTTGCTTTAACCGCTTCATATTGTAACAAGAGTCAAACTGGGGACAGAAATAGCTTTACAGTTTACTAAGTCTGTAATAGAAATTCTGCTTATCTTCTCAAGTACCACTATAATAATGGGTCTGAGTCAAAGTTGTTCAATACAACATCCTACAATGAAATTAAGTTTAAAAAAACCATTCATGATCCATCAGTTGAGCAGTAAAACTAACTCTGGTCTCTATTAGTGACACGACAACAAACAATGATGATAAATGAATCATCAGTTGTGCCACCAGTTTAGTGAAGCTTGCCTTGCCCTCACACCCACTGGACATTTTTCGAAAAGCAAACCTACTGATCTGTCTGAACACGATATTGCATATTCAGGACAACACTGCATATTCTGAGTGAGTAAATTAAGAAAAATTGTTCTTAGATACAGCTAGATCATGATTCTGACAGTGCCATCCAGCCAAATGTTTACTTCCTCTTAATAGAGGAAGAAATAGGATTACTGGAAGGGTAATGTTATCAGTCAAATATTAAACACGAAGTTGAAAGACTTGATGCTGGGGCAGAGGTGTGCTATACAGCTTCTTGATCCATTCATTATGTCATGGCCCTCTATCATTTTCATCTTGCCAATGAAGACAAAAATGAAATTATTCTTAGGCAAAGTATATGTAAATTCTGTCAGCATAACTATTCCAGACATTTTCATAGGAGCCATCTGTCAAGGACTAAAGTCATTTTAGAAGAGCAAAGAACAAAAGACTTAGTCAACATTTTTCAGAACTCTGAAGGAAGTGGGACAAAAGTACCATCTAACTTTAAAGAAATACGGAGCAGATATAGTTTTGATGATTGCTAATAATCCATATGTAATTTAGAGTATTTATTGATGAGCTAATGCTCATCACCTTCCATAGAATCAAAGGAGCACAAGGCTGAAAGAGTTATCTTCCTTCAATAACCTATCTGTTTTCAACTGTTCTCAGATGAGATCCCCCACCCCTGTGATATCACTAACTTACTACTTCTTTACGGAAATAGAGAGTATTACTTGTCCTACTAGCAGTAGACATTAAAAAAAATTCATTATGAAAATACTACTTTGTAAAAATACTGATGATTTCTGCTCTCCCCCAGTTCTCCTCTACTCCTTTTTTCCTGTCTTCTCTTTTTGCAAGAGGAATTAACATAAACCTCTCAACCTTCTCTCACTGGGCATGTTCCCTAAAAATCCCTTGTTGCTGCTCTCTAGCTTCTTTCCAATTTACCTAGGTTGTTCTTAAGTATGAAACTCCACTCAATCTTTGCTCCAGCTTATGCTTTAACAGTAACCAATAATTATTTCCTTCTGCTTTTAACGGAGATTGTGAAACTTTCTACGTTCCAAAAAAAAAAAAAACATCTGCCTTTTTTTGTAACCCGCTGCTGACTTGATCTATTTTGGTCCACTACAACTTCCAACATCTATTCTGCAGAACAGATGCTCAGTGAATGAGTCCCAGTTTTGTTTGCCTAGTTCCTGGCTATAGCGCTATACACTTGAATAAGATTCCACCAAATCATATTACGAGCAAATTATCCTGATCATTTTGAATATTGATGCTCTACTTCACCTAGTTTGCATGTCATTTTGCCTAGGTATGATCCACGTTTTAAGTATTGTATCAGTTCCTTTATCCCAGGCCTCAATTTCAATACAAAACTGTATTGGGCAAGACTGCCTTCCTCATTTGATACATCTTCTGTTGACAGTAACCATGGGTAAATACTCTTATGCCATCTTAGACATCTATTGGCTGGTAGTATTGACAGATATTGAGAGGAAAACGGAACCAAACTAATTTCTGAGACTTTGTTTTGGTTTCTGTTTTAAAATTGTTTGAGAAAAAATAAAACTGGGCTCTAACAGATACATGCAGGAAAGTGATATGCAAAATTCTCCTTAATATTTTTTCATCTTTTGAGCACTACAAACTTCATGAACCTTCCTTACACCACTAAATAATCACTGAATTTCACAGTGTCAAAGCAGAACTGTTTACAGTCTTATGGTAATTTTTAAAGCAACTTTAATTTGTAACCATGAATCCTATCCTCCCATTAAATATTAAGTGAAGGACTCACCTAAAACCAGAAAGTAACAAAATAATTCTCTACAGCCCATACAAACCTAAGTCACTTAAATGACTCATTCAAAATGAAGAAAAGGCATAAAATCTTCAAAATCCTTTCAGCTTTTGGCCCAGGAAGTGAAACCTCTATTGACAACTTATAATGTATCATTGTCAGAGCTTTAAACACTATTCCTTACTCTGGAGTACTGGAGTTTTTCTAGGAAGCACTGAAAAATATATCATTTTTGTGACTTCCATTGTCAGAGCTTTAAACACTATTCCTTACACTGGAGTACTGGAGTTTTTCCAGGAACTACTGAAAAATATATCACTTTGGTGACTTGTAAGTAGTCAGGCCCTCCAGCTCCTCTGCCCTGGCTATTATTTTGTTATAATACCATAGAAGAGCCTAAGAAAAAAACAACAACAACAACAGAAAACCAAACTTAATTACTTGGAGACTTGAGCCTATTGACAGTAGCAAGTTTTGACTCTATAGAGTCTTATCAGCTCACACAGTTATTTAACTATCCCACACTGAATTCTTCGGTCATAACATTCATTCACTGTGAGAATTTGTTCAGTTCAGGGAAAAACAACAAAACAAGAAGAAACCACAACAGAAAATCCCACAACCTTGAAATCAACCATGTCTTCCTCCTATCAACAGCAGCCCGCAGATACCTTAGCAGCAAGCTTTGAATTAGACCCTGGGATCAATGATGCCTTTAAAATAAGGCACACAGCAAGGTAAAAGTTGTTTAGCCTAATGAAGGAATGTAGACTACACTGCATAGTAGCACCTGACAGTACAAAGGCCTGACCACTGATGTGAGCAAAATTTATAGCAGTTAAAAAAAAACAGCCCAAAACAACAAACCTCACAAGAGAACCCCCAGCAGATCTCCACAGAGCTTCAAAAGGGTAACCATAAAATGTTATAAACTTTCATTTATTATTCTCTACATTACCTATGCAAGTTCAAACATAATACAACCAAACACTCATATTTAACATAGGATGACATCATTCAGGATCAGATTTGCTGTGAAGTTGGGTTTTTTTAAAAATTATCTTGTTTTTTCTGTGCCAAAAATCAGAATCCCTAAACATACAGACAGTAAACATTACAATAAAGAGGTTGTCGTACCAATGTGGTCAGGGAATTTCTTTTCATATAAAGTCTCTCCAAGTACTGCAGCCCCTCATCTTTCAGTAACTCCAAAGGAAAATGATGGAGATTTCGGTAATTTAAGAACAAGTTCTTGTGCTTTTCCAGCTTTGCCTCAGAGATTGTTTTACATAGTTCTGATGCCATGACTAATCCTGTTCCAAGCACCACATCTAGTGCATTGCATCTTCTGAAAGCAGACCCATTTCTAGGAGATAAAAAGAGAAAAAAAAAGAGACATTATCAAGGTGTATGCCATGCATTCTTTTGTGAAAAGAGTTAGTTATTACATATTATCTGGTATTTTATCAAAACACACTTGTTCCAGTTAATATATAAATAAAGTACCCAGAACGTCCACCCCATAAGATACACTAGAATCAAGTCTTTCACTATCTTCTGGAGAAAGTTTTAGCATGTTATCAGACCAGCGATAGGAAGATCTTAATGTATACATAATGTGGGTTTTTTTCCATCCATTTTTGATGGACGAAAAGAGTTAGTTATTACATATTATCTGGTATTTTATCAAAACACACTTGTTCCAGTTAATATATAAATAAAGTACCCAGAACGTCCACCCCATAAGATACACTAGAATCAAGTCTTTCACTATCTTCTGGAGAAAGTTTTAGCATGTTATCAGACCAGCAATAGGAAGATCTTAATGTATACATAATGGGTTTTTTCCATCCATTTTTGATGGACTTTTAGATAATTTAGTCAAAGTTGCCACCACAAGTAAAAAAAAAAACAACACCTCTCTCTACTAACCATTACCGATGTCCTACATCTATTCTGTGAAGTGTGCTAAAATAAGAATTCACAGATAAGAAAACCACATGATTTATTACAGGACTTCTTATTCTCAGATGACTAAAACACCTTTACGTAGCTTTTAAGCCAGAATGACAAAAGGTAATGAAAGTTTGTTAAGCTTTCCCATACAAAACTACCAGAATTCATCAGTTGGGATGGACAGCCAGTAAGGCCATTTTAAAATAATAACCCAATATATTAGAAATCTGAAAGTTACAGCAAGAGAATTTACAGAGCTAAATGTGACAGCAGATTTTCAGCTCTCTTTACTAAAAATAAAACCAGAAAGAACTAAATGTCTAGCTTTAACTGACAATTTCAAAACCAGAAAACAAAGCTATGAAGGCAAATTAAAAATTAACTCGGATCTGAAACCAGACTTTATTTAGCTTGTTTTTCATGTATTACCAAAACTCTAGTCATTACTACATTGCCTAGATTTACATAACAGCAATGCTACATCTTTCCAACTTTCACAGAAGTCAAGAGAACATAATAAATCCAGCCTATTTATTACTTTAAAGTTACCAGTTTGCTACAGACTTGTGTGTATGAATTGATTTCCGTTAACGAAAGGCAAGGAATCATAACTGCTTTCCAACAACAACATTTTAGTTCATTCCTTTAGTGAAGGTGATTTCTAATCATAACAGATAATGGAACTGAAGGTCCTGAGTTACAATCAAGAATCCTAACTGATTATACACCAGTTGTTATAAACAAAGCTCCATACCCAGCTGAAGACTGACAACTGCACCATACATATAAATCAAGCTACTTGATCAGTTTCAATAATTCCCTTGACTTGCAGATAAACAGCTTTTATCAGTGACCTAGGTCCTTCTGGAAGAATACTGCATTTACTTTCTTAGAGTCCCATGCACAATTAATCACAACTTGGGTGCAATATCCTACACACCTATTCTAGGCTGGAGTTATCCCCAGCTGAAGCCATGCTAAGGTCAATTCTGCAAGCAAATGATTACCCTGTTGAGAATCCTAAGTAAGATTAGAAACTATCCATCTACCTTTGTTAAACAGTATTTTTATGAGAAGAACCACAGCTCTAACAGTTGCTTTGTTAGCTATCTTAAGGAGACAGGGTACACACACTGCTGGCCCTCGGCTCCCTTATTTCAGCAGATAAAGGAAATTAAGGCTGCAATTCCAACTCCGCATCTGTGATTAAGGAGACAGGGTACACACACTGCTAGCCCTCGGCTCCCTTATTTCAGCAGATAAAGGAAATTAAGGCGCTACAATTCCAACTCTACATCTGTTATTAGCTTTAAAATAATTCAAGGAAAAGCATTAGAATTTTTAATGTGCATAGGGTGAGAGTATTTGTGCATTTACTGCTACAATTCATCTTTCCACTGATTTATTTTTTTTAAATAACAAGCTGTGAAGTCACAAACCACATACATAACTATCCAGCCGCCCTCCAATTTGTCCAGAGATGCCTTTTAGATGTTCTACAATTGCGAACTTCTACTCAGAGTTGTGACTCCATATATTGACTGGACGACATTTAGCCATGGCACACATGAATACACACACAAGCCCACAGATGCAAAGTCCAGTCATAACATACTCTATTTTGGCTCTTACTTCAAAGGAAAAACCCTCCTACTCCCTTCCACTACCAGCCAAACTTTTTAGCTCTAAGCAATCTTTCCCCAGAGATGAGGCACATCACTACCAAAAAGGAAGAGACACAATCGGGTCTTTAAGGAAGGTAAAAAGGGAGGGTAAGAGCAGATAATACACAGTGATGACGGCCCTGTGGGGTGTCAGGTCATTCAGGGGAGAAAGCCGCCGTTTCACGGAGGATGGAGAAGAGAGAAATAAACCTCCCCGAGTACAGGGCAGGGAGGTGAGGCCAAGCGAAGGCGTGCGAAGAGCTGACACCAGGAGACCCTCAGGCCGAGTTGGGACTGTCTGGGGCGGGAGGTGGGAAGAGCGCACGGAGACGGGAGAAAAGTCGGAGCCGCAGGGCAGGAGAGGAGGAGGAGGTGGGGCTGCACGGAGCAGGCCCGCCCGCTGCTCCTGGGGCCCAGGGAACTGAGGGAGGCCGGTCTGTCACGGGTGGGTGCGTGGGAACCGGCCCGTCCCGGCTCTGCGGGTGCCGAGGCGGGGAGGAGCCGCCAGAGGCGCAGGCCTGTGAGGGCTGAGGCGGCGGCGGCGGGAGGCCGCCCCCGCGGCTGAAAGGGGGCCGGTGGAGACTCACAGCCCGTCACGGAGAGGTGCAGAGCGGGGGAGGCACCTCACACACCCCTCCAGACCCTGTCCCGCTCCCCGCCCGCCGGGGGACGAGTCACTCACCGGCGCCACTGCAGCGGGGAGCGGCGACCGGCCGCGATCGCCTCCGATCGGCTCCGCCGGGCGCCACCGGCGGCCCAACCAGCCCGGGGGAGGCGGGGCGGGCCGCAGCCGCGCGAGACCTCGGCCGCCACACGACTCTCGCGAGAGGCTGCCCGGCCGCGGCACCGCCCCTGCCTCGCCTCCCTCCACGGCACCGCCCCCTCACCGCCTCTCACCCAGTCACAAGGCAGCTCGGCGCTCAACATCCAATCACAGGTTTCCCGCCCTCTCCTTGCCTTGTGCCCGCGCCTCTATCAGCCAATGGGAGGGCGCCCCACCTCAGCGCCTTGCCCGCCCCCTGCTGTGGCCGAGGGACGGGTGTGAAGATTTGGGTGGCGTTGGGGACAGAAGGGTTTGTCCTTCCCAGTGGGTCTCTCTGAGGCAACGTGTAGATTCAACTTGCCTTCCTTAGTGTTTACACAGTTCTTGGTGTGAGCTGAGCAAAGTTATCCCTATTTGACAGTTGTTGAAGCAGAATGTCATTGGCAGGTAAAAGTTGTGGTGCCCAGGGAGCATCTTCCCAGCCAAAGATAGGTGTAACTAACACTATCTTTTATTTGTTTATTAACAGCAGGCTGGAGACCCTTAGGCAATCCTGCCTACGCCCCCAACCTGTTCATCATGACCATTTTTACCCATGATGTTTGACCTGTTGAAACGGGTAAGGGAATCATGGAAGCTTAATTTATCTTCATGCTGTTCACCTGATTTTGATTTTAAATCCATGTGTATTCACACATGTTGCAATGATGCAATACATAAATCCTTTAATGACAGCAAATTCCCGCATACTCAGAATATTTAACATTACTGGGTATTAAAAGTTCTTCTCTGCTGAAGATTAGCCCTACCAGCTGGCTAAAAAAAGAATCCCAGACGGAGAAATCCTCTTTCTAGTTCCCACGGGCTAATTAACATAAACTTGTCTTAACAAGATTCATATAGCCAGTCTGCAGGGGAACCGAGAAGTTCAATGTCAAAGATTAATACATCGCAGAAAGCATTTCTTCTCTCCTATATAATCACAGAACTTTCATCTGAAGCAAAGCAACCTGCAGAAAAAGCTTCAGATTTTTTCTTGCAGACTCATTTCTCTCTTTTTCAGTTCGAAATAAAGAATAGCTACCCTTAATTGCTCATTTGTCATTTTCCTACACTTGAAAGGCAATAATTGATTTTGACAATTACACTTGCTCAGTCTTACTTGCAATTTGCAGTTTTTTTGGAGTTGTTTTTTCAGATAAATAGGTTGGATTTTGTTGAAATAATTTGAGATGAAATAATTTACCCTTCAAAATTCAACATCCTCCATATTATTCGTATCATACTGCATACATTCTGTCTTACTGTGGTTGATAGTACTTGTCTGTTTTTCTCAGCTGGATGTTAAATTCCAGGAAGTGGCCTGCTTGTCTACCACTACGGTTAAAAACAGCAACTACCTCACACTTCTTAATGTCACTTTGGTCCCATATTGTTATTATCTAAGAAATTAGAAGTTAAGCATACTTCAGACCACAATGGAAGCTGAATATGAGCACAGTTAGCATCACATTCCTCAGAGGGAATTCAATGATGTGCCAAACCAAATGTTCTCTGGGATATTAAGTCATTGATGAAGACAGAAACTGTGTTCCTGCCTTCTTTCAATAAAGTACAGATAGGAAGGATAAAATATTTTTCTTGGGAGACCTGCTCTTAATAAAGCCAGGATGCTTAATGTGTTTCTTTACACATAAGTTGTAATGGTTTTGGTTTTTCGGTTGGGGATTTTTTTTTTAAATGGTTAACAGGAAGGAGATAAGATTATTGCACTATGGTATTTTTGAGAGAAAAATTTTGTCTGTTTTCGGCTCACACCACCAAAGGGGCTACAGAGATCAGAGCAGTGCTAAAATGTCTTTGGTCACAAAACAAATTCAGCTCTCAGAGTGTGCCTTCAGTGGTTATAAAACATACTGTACACATGGATTTAGCATAAATTGTAGAAGCAGTTTAGGATCGCTGAAGCTATTGGAGGTGTTAATAATATAGAACGTACTGGGGGTGTCAATATTTCAGCGGGGATTTTTAAAACTGAGGATTTGAAAGTCTATTTTTAATCTCTCTCTTGTTTTCAGAGTTAGAGGGTTCTTACTAGCAGAATTTAAAATATCTCCTCCCAACTGGTAATAGAGTACTGTATATGATTCCCTCCAGATTCTTTTTTTAATTGGTAGAAAAATCTGTAGAATCAGATGAGCTGTTCTTTGCGGGACAAACAAATATCCTCACCCACCTCAACTGTATTACATTTTTCTTGCTTGTTCCAGAGCTGCATCACATTCATACCAGCTATATAGAAGGAAGTGCCAGTTACCTCATAGCTTTATGATATCCACAAGAATTTCCAATATGATTTGAGTGTTCACATATCACTTTATCTTGCATCTTCCTTCCCGAAACACTCGGAATTCTCTCTTTATTGTCTTACGTAGCCTGCAATCGTCACACTCATTCATTCTGTCTGATTGTTTTGTTTTTTTCCCTTGACCAATGCCGTCATGATCTCCCAGGCTTGTGTCATCAAATTCTGTGCAGTGCTTCTAAAAAGTGCTGCGCTCTGGGATGTGAAAGCTGATCTCTGAAGCTGTGATGCTGCACAGCACAGGTGTACAGTCTTGCCTGTGTAGTCACAGGGCTAAAAATGAGCAGAGCAGGGGACATTGGAATCTGATCTTCCGTTACAGAGAGTGCTTGCCTCATGGTTGCCAAGTCATTCCCATCTAACGAGTGAGACGCCCTTTGCTGAGTAGATTTTTGCTGTTTCTTTACCCTAATCTAATTCTTAATTTTGTGCTTGTGAGAGCAAGGAACAGAGAGGCTTGAAATTTACATCTTGCTCAGAAGGATGACTGATCTTTTCTGTGCCTACATAGAGGAACTAATAAAAGTTGTTTTGAAGTGCAAGTTTGAAGAAGTAGATCTATTTAAGTAGTTTGCAGTTGCCAGTGTCTTGACCCACCTTCATCAGTTGGTTTACTGGAACAAATCCAGTAACTGGAGCAAATGGACACAGCTTCACTGGTGATGCCTCATTTGAGCCAAACCTATGCAAGCCAGATGAATGTAGTGTGCATAAAAAGAGATGATGATACATTATCAGATTTATTACACAAGGTAATGATTTGAGACCAACAACTTCGGGAAGATGCAATTGGAAATATCTTTGTATAGTAAAGCTTTATGCAACCATTGTCTTTTGTTCTGCCAAATGAAATGAAGAAATTATTGTTATTGAGATTTTTGTGTCAAGATTCCTAGCTCCTAATTTCACAGAACTAGGACATTCCAAATGTCTTACTGAGCTTTTGAATTTGAGTTCTGAACACTCTGAGGTTCTCCCAAATAATCCTGGATGAGTCTTTTCCACCCAGTACTGCGGATACCACTTATATTGAATCATGTGCATTAAATTAGACTTTGTAAGTTTGGATTGTGATCCAAATATTCACTGAGCAATTAAAGGTCAGTTTTTAGCAGCCAGAAACTTTAGTGTGACTGATGCATGACAAGAAAAGAGCGTTTCTCCTTTAAGGTTGGATAATTTTTAACCTTTGCTCTTTAGTATGTTAAGTAGCAGTACAATATGGGCCTTTCTGAACTACACTGTATTCTGAGAATTTTAGTGAAGCAAAAATCCAGCACTAAATGCCAAACTTAAACTTATGCAGTTATATCTGGTACAGGGAGGTCCTGTGGGCTGGAGGACTCTTCTAGGCACAAGGAATCAGCAAATCAATCCAGTGATCAACAGATGCAGCTTCAGCTTTCTTTAGGTTCTAGTTGCTGAAGAGTTGGCATGTACTAGAGTGTTAACATATGACATATACAAGCATGGAAAGCAGTAGTAATCCAGTGGATCGTCTGGTACATCTGACAGGTTTCACAGCCAGTGAACCTCTTTTCCATGGTCAGACAGGAGAAGAATCTGCTTAAAACATGCCTGGGATGTTTGAAATGGTCTAGGAAAATGGCAGAGCTCTCCCTTACATGGCAGAATTCCAGAATGGGGGCTCAATGGTTTGTGCTGTCCTTTTGTCTTCTGCTTATACCTAGAAAATATAACCTTGCCTAGAATTTTGAAAGTTCCCATGCAGTTGAGTACACAATTTCATTTGTCTGCTCTTGCAGACACTGAGGGTGGCTTTCTCCCTCATCTATAAGAACTATTGACTTAGGTTTTTCTTCTAACAAGAACCAAGGGCCCTGTGTCATCACCAGATTCTGCAAACTGAGAATTTAAGAAGCACACTTTCCTACTTTACTGAAAAGACACTGTATGTTATGATGTGATTGTTTGTCACTACTAAGAATTGAATTTTTTCAGTTTGCATTCTTTCTTCTAGAATTTCAAATGTATTCATTCTGCTTATCCTTGTAATTATTTACTACTTTTTCAGTATATACAGCTTTCATATACCCAATGATAGAAGATCTCAATTGTTATAAATTTCAAGAGTTTAGGTTCTGTTCTTTCCATAGGATGTTTTTTTGCATTACACATACATTTGTTGATTTGTCTTTAATATCAGGAAGAAACAAACTCACTAAAATGTTCTGTTTTTACTGCTGGAAAAAGAATCCATTCCTCAGAAAGTCTTGGCTCTTCTTAGGAGGTCTTTCCGAATTTCTAGTTAGTAATTTTGTGTAGGGACAAAGCTGTCTTATTTGAGTGGAATAAAGTTACAGTGACTCATCACAGTACTGCTCACTTCGATTCCATAAACCTTTTACTTAAAACTCTGGCTTCTGCAGCAGTACCAAAAACTGGAAGGCAGATGGAGCTCCTGCATGCCAAGGGCCAGCCTGCTAGTATTTAACATTTAGACATCATCCATCTTCGGCTTAAGTCTATTTCTTTTCAGTTTATTTCTTATTGTATTTGTTAAACTTTAATTGACTACTTTTTCAATGGCACAGTAATGCTAATGAAAAAGCTAATTTGAAAGGAAGTTAATTGTACTGCCTGGTACAGTTCAAATCAGCATTTGTCAAAATAGAAGCTTTTAAAACAGTCCATTGCTAATTTGGGCTGAACTTATTTT